GTTCTTCAGAAATGTCCTTAAACTCTATTCTATAGTATGAATATGGAAAAGATCAGTTCAACCAATTACCGGTTTTTATATCTCAAAGGGGGATAAGAGTGGGCGAAGACAAATCATTTTAACGAAGTTAGTTATAAAGGAAAAAGATTAACATTCTATTATGTATTTGAGTACTTTGTTTATTCTTCTGTTTCCTTGGGCAGGTTACAGTCCATTTAGGCATAGATGTGAATTTAGCATCCTTTTATCTGTCGGGGAAACATAACCACAGGAAGAATTTGATGTTTTCCAGTGATAAAGAAAAAGCTAGTGGAAAAAAAGTTTACTTGGTAGATTCCAAGTAAGTTTGGACAATATTTGGTTGAAGTTGAAAAAAAAAAAGAGTATTTGAAGTTGAAGTTGAAAAAGAGTATGTGGAAGTTGCAAATCACGGTAGTGTTTTTTGTTCTTTTGTGTTTTTTTTTTAATCAAGTTTGCATTGTAATTGATTGTATAATCTCTTTTCTTTCAGTCCATAGCAGAATTCCGAAAGAGTGGCAACTTGCTTTCTTATGTACAATTGAAACTAGTATAAGATCACTCGCCCTGAAGATGCAATGGGAGCCTCCAGTGGACCAAGGTTATCCGGGATGCAGAAGCAAGTGCTTGCTCTTTATAGGGGATTCCTAAGAGCCGCACGCTCCAAGCCTGTTGAGGAGAGAAGGCAAATTGAGTCAATTGTATCAGCTGAGTTCCACAAAAATTCTAAGCAAGTTGACCGTAAGAACTTTATTTTTATTGAATACTTACTTCGTCGTGGTAAGAAACAACTTGATCAGCTTAAAAGCCCTGATACTGTTGGATTGTCATCCTTGAGTGTTGATTCTTCACGAACTAGGAACTCATCCTCCTAGATTTTTCTTACAAAATTCACTCGTGTTCAACTTTATTGGTGTTGGTTGATTGTATCATCTCTTTTGCTGGGATTAGCATTGGGCATTTGAAGGCCAAATTTTATTTACAAACACATATACTGGGATTCAGAAACATATGTACGGTGTTAAGAGTTTGTAATGTACCATTATCTAGAGTGAGAATCATAGTTGCTGTAAGAGCAATATAACGACTGGCAAGTGATCCTTTTTGGGGAAAAGAGACAGGCAGATGGTTTTGAAACAAAGAAAATTCATTTTTGACTCGTATAAATGATGAAATTTTGTTTTGGTTCTCTTCAATAAGGAGCTTGATTATTCCAATAGTAAGAGAAGAGTTGGGAGCTTTTACAACATTAGTAAATTCATTTGCTGGCTGTTCCTGAAGTTTACATAAACACTTGCATACAATTATCACGGTATTTCAATATTTTGATGGCATTTACGTTTTCTTCAGCAGAAATGCAAGCCAAGCTTGATAGAAACAGACAGTTCAAAAGTTTGGAAAAATCTTAAAGAGTATTAACTATGCTTGAATAGTAGTGGTTGTAGTAGCTGTTAATTCCATGATGTGCATATGCGCGTCTAACTCTGAGATATTAATCATTCTAGGTACAGTAGTTGCTACTTGCTAATTTGTAATTTGAACATCATAATAGTGATTTCTTAGTAGTATGAATTCAACCTCTTATCTCATGACTCAGGTATCTGCTCTCACTATGAAACCTGTCGGTGTTGTGATTCCGATCCGATTATCTAGGGAAGTAGCCGGATTGTGTGTACATCACGAAGGTCTAATACCACCACTGTTAACTAGGGATGTTAACATAATGACTAGGCTACTAGCTTGTGGGTAGCGTTCAGCGTCATCGCCACTCTCTATGGGCAGGTGTACCAATTAGAGCTTTTTTCAATCTCTGCCATATAGCTGTTACTACATACCATATCAAAACTAGTTTCTCTTTATAGGCTTTGCTAGTATTATTCCTTGTAAATAATTGGAGAAATTTGCCAAGGTCTGTAGATGTGCAGTAGTCAACATGCAGACAAGCTTAACTAATGACTGTAAATGCAGTAATATATATAAATGCAGTAATATCTGTTCTGTGTACACTTAGCATGTTCTGTGCCGCTCAGGCGTGTGTACTTCCCACGAGATCCTTTGTGGTTAGTGAGTCATGAGGGAGGATCCTGTTCTCACGCAATAGAGCCATGTACAGACCAGTAACACGATTGATAACTAAACTAGAACATGCTGAATAACTAATTTGGAATGATGTTTTCAAACGTGCTCAATAACTTATCTGAAGCCATGTTCTCAATAAATGAAACAACATATGCGATATGCATGAATATCTGAACTGGGCACGTATCACAACATACATAAATTTCTTAGCACTGTACTAGCATACACAATATGCACAGAAAACCAAACTAAGCATGAATCACATCAAAATCACAGTACTGATCTTTTTATCCCAGTATAACATTCTAGCTCCTATGTATATTCTCATCTCTTCATATATGCATAGTCACCCTCATATACATAACATATATACAACAACAACAACAACCCAACAAAATTCCATTAATGGGATCTGGGGAGGGTAGTGTGTACGCAGACCTTACCCCTACCCCGAAGGGGTAGAGAGGCTGTTTCCGAAAGACCCTCGGCTCAAGAAAGCAAAAAGGCAAAAAGGAGACAATATTAATATCAACAAAGAAATCATATGAAAACAGGAATAACATAAACTTTAGAAGAAAGATGCAAAGCAAAAGCGATAGCTAGTAAATAGTTCCTGCGCTGAAAAGTGAAATAGTAAGACACAACATTGTCACTAACTATCCTAGACAAAAACCCTACCAGACTGGTACCTAACCTACAACTCTAATACTCAATCTCCACATCTCCTTATCCAGTATCATGCCCTCGGAAATCTGAAGCCTCGCCATATCCTGCCTGATCACCTCTCTCCAATACTTCTTAGGTCGCCCTCTACCTCTTCTAGTGCNCACAACTAACTGCTCACATCTTCTAACTGGCGCATCTGGGCTTCTCCTCTGAACATGCCCGAACCATCTGAGTCTCGCTTCCCGCATCTTGTCATCAATGGGAGCCACACGCACCTTCTCCCGAATATCATCATTCCTAATCTTATCCATTCTAGTGTGCCCGCACATCCACCTCAACATCCTCATTTTCGCTACTTTCATCTTCTGGATATGTGAGTTCCTTACAGGTCAACACTCAGCCCCATACATCATGACCGATCTAACAACCGCTTTATAGAACTTACCTTTGAGTAACGGTGACACTCTCTTATCACACAAGACTCCAGGTGCTAACCTCCACTTCATCCATCCTACACCAATACGATGTGTAACATCCTCATCGATCTCCCCTCCTCCCTGGATAACCGATCCAAGGTACTTGAAGCTGCCTCTACTTGGGAT